AGTAGAAAGGAGTTAGTGATAGGATTACCTAAACTCAAGTTTAGCAAGGACAAACTATGTGATGCTTGTCAAAAGGGCAAGCAAGTGAAGGCTAGCTTTAAAAGCAAAAATCAGATTTCCACTACTAGACCTTTACAATTAATTCACATGGATTTGTTTGGTCCTTCAAGAACCATGAGCCTAGGTGGAAACTACTATGGGTTAGTTATTGTAGATGACTATTCAAGATTCACATGGGTTATGTTTCTTGCAAACAAAAATGAAGCTTTTAATGCTTTTAAGAAATTTGCCAAGGTTGTTCAAAATGAAAAGAATTCAAACATTACCTTTATTAGAAATGACCATGGAGGTGAATTCCAAAACATTTTGTTCCAAAAATTTTGTGAGGAGCATGGTATAAATCATAATTTTTCAGCACCTAGGACTCCTCAACAAAATGGGGTTGTTGAGAGGAAAAATAGGTCTCTTGAGGAACTAGCTAGGACTATGTTGAATGAGACCAAATTACCAAAATATTTTTGGGCTGATGCTATTAACACAGCTTGTCATGTGTTAAACAAGGTTCTGATCCGGCCCATACTAAAGAAATTACCCTATGAAATTTACAATGGAAGGAAGCCTAACATTTCATACTTTAGAGTGTTTGGGTGTAAGTGCTTTGTGCTGAACAATGGAAAAGAGCAACTTGGAAAATTTGATGCAAAGGCTGATGAGGCAATCTCTTTAGGATATTCTACAAATAGAAAAACCTATAGAATCTATAACAAGAGAACTCTAATTGTTGAAGAATCAGTTCATGTTGTGTTTGATGAGACTAACAAACAAGAGACAAAGCAAACTGAAATAGAAGATTTGACTGATTTGCTTGATCAACCTCTATTGGAGAGTGAACCTAATGAAAAGCCTAAAGAGAGTGAACAAAATGAAACTACCAAGGATACAAGTGAACAATTGCCTAAGGAATGGAAGACTTCTAGGGACTTATCAATAGATAATATAATTGGAAATATTGGTAAGAGAGTGTCAACTAGAAGATCCATCAAGAATATTTGCAATACTATGGCTTTTGTGTCACAAGTTGAACCTAAAAGTATAGATGAAGCACTAAAAGATGAACATTGGTTAATGGCCATGCAAGAGGAACTAAATCAGTTTGAAAGAAATGAAGTATAGGATTTAGTGCCATTACCAACTGATTATCGAATTATAGGAACCAAGTGGGTTTTTAGAAATAAGCTTGATGAATTAGGAATTATCATAAGAAATAAGGGAAGGCTAGCAGCTAAGGGGTATAATCAAGAAGAGGGAATTGATTATGATGAGACTTTTTTTTTTACTGTTTGCCCAGAACGGGCCGTTCCAAAACCAGAACGGCCCGTTCCAAACCAATGTCTACTTCCTGAAAACGTCCTCCGGAACGGGCCGTTGCATGGCCGTAAAAAGGCCTCTGTGTCTTTAAGCAGAACGGCCCGTTCTGCTTTCGGAACGGGCCGTTCCACTTCCAAAATTTGCCCAAAATAAGCCAGAAACACGAAAAAAAAAAAAAATTAAGCAGGGGAACCGAGTTCTGAGTTGAAAAAACACAAAAAATAAGATTTTGATACGGTTGATATTTTTATAATTTTTTTTAAAAAAAATATTATTTAAGTAAAAATTTCTCTGTCTGTCTGTATTTTGATTTCCTGTGTTTTAGCGTCAGATAAAAATTTCCGTTCTATTTGTTAAACATTCCAAAAACAAACAATAAAGCTAGAAAACTGTGGACGACGATTCTAGTTCTTGTCTAACTCGATCAATTGGTTACCCCATTTGGTTTAGCTTGGTGATGGTAAAAAAATGATTGTAATCTTTTGAGTGAACCCATCCCATTACGTTATAAGGAAGAGAAGGGTAATAAACATGATTAGACATGTACCCAAAAAAGTTGGAAAGTAAAGAGAGTGCAGTATGTGCAGTTATAAATCAAACCGTTAAAAATTAATATATTAATAAATTCAATGGATGCGATTTTTGCAGTTCTCCTGCAGTGAGAAGATATTGGAATCAGTAATCAGTACTCAGTAGTATTTCTGTAATGCAGTGCAGCAGCCTGCAGAGGCTACGTGCAGATAAACGATTTGATAAGAAGAATCAAACAGAGACAAAAGTAAAATAAAATAAAAGTATGATGAAGAAAAACCGAAAAAGTATTAGAATTTTTCCTTACACGGACTGTGCATAATAAGTATATATTTAAAGTAGAGTTTTATAATATACTATTTAATCCCATGTCCATATTCGACTAAACTTCTTGTTCCAAGCAACAACAACAAAGCTTCTCGTCTTTCAATGGCTGAATTCAATTCTCTTGAAATGAAGAGAATAAGGAAAGAAGATGAGGGATTTGCCATAGGAGTCGACCTTGGTACAACCTACTCGTGCGTTGCAGTGTGGCAGGAGCAACTCAATAGAGTAGAAATAATCCACAACCAACAAGGCAACAAAACCACACCTTCTGTTGTTGCATTCACAGACAAACAGAGATTGATCGGTGATGCTGCTAAATATCAAGCTGCCATCAACCCAGAAAACACCATCTTTGGTACATTATCCACTCTTCACTATCTATGTCTTTCTTTTATGATTTCTCATGCATGGCTTTTTATTTTTTTATTTTTAATTTTTATAACTTTTTGCAGATGCTAAGAGGTTAATCGGTAGAAAATACAGTGACCCCATTATTCAGAAAGATAAAATGCTATGGCCATTCAAGGTCGTTGACGGTGTTAATGACAAACCCATGATGGTGGTTAAGTACAAGGATCAGGAGAAGTTTCTTTGTGCTGAGGAAGTGTCATCTATGATCCTTGTGAAGATGAGGGAGATTGCAGAGGCTTATTTGGAAGCACCTGTGAAGAATGCTGTGGTTACTGTTCCTGCTTATTTCAATGATTCTCAGCGAAAAGCTACCGTAGATGCTGCTGCCATTGCTGGTCTCAATGTTATGCGGATTATAAATGAACCTACAGCTGCAGCTATTGCACATGGCCTTGACAAGAGAACTAACTGTGTTGGAGAACGAAGCATTTTCATCTTTGACCTTGGTGGTGGTACTTTTGATGTGTCTATCCTCAAAATTAAGGACAAGGTCTTCCATGTTAAAGCCACTGCGGGAAACACTCACCTTGGAGGAGAGGACTTTGACAACAGAATGGTGAATTACTTTGTGGAGGAGTTCAAAAGGAAGAACAAAGTGGACATTAGTGGGAACCCGAGAGCCTTAAGAAGGTTGAGAAGTGCATGCCAAAGGGCAAAGAAGATACTCTCTTATGATGTTACTGCCAACATTGAGGTAGATGCTTTATTTCAAGGTACTGATTTCTGCTCTTCAATTAGTCGTGCAAAGTTTGAGGAAATCAATATGGATCTCTTTAAAGAGTGTTTGGAGACAGTAGACAAGTGTCTTACTTATGCTGATATGGACAAGGGTGATATAGATGATGTAGTACTGGTTGGTGGTTCTTCCAGGATTCCCAAAGTGCAGGAGCTACTGCAGGATTTCTTCGAGGGAAAGGGTCTGTGCAAGAGCATAAACCCTGATGAGGCTGTAGCTTATGGTGCAGCTGTGCAAGCTGCTTTGTTGAGTGAAGGCATTAAGAATATTCCAAACTTGGTGTTATTGGATGTTACACCACTGTCACTTGGTATTTCTACACTAGGAGATATCATGAGTGTGGTGATTCCTAAGAACACTACCATTCCTGTAAAGAAGACACGACCATACATAACACCTGAAGATAATGTGTCCCATGTCGGTATTAGTGTTTATGAGGGTGAGAGAAAAAGAGCCAGCGATAACAATTTGTTGGGTTTCTTTAAGCTTTATGGCTTTCCTCCAGCTCCTCGGGGCCATCCTCTTTATGTGTGTTTTGACATAGATGAAAATGGTATCTTAACCGTTTCTGCTGAGGAAAAAACCACTGGCAACAAGAACGAGATTACTATAACTAATGATCAAGGAAGATTGTCAGCAAAAGAAATTAGAAGAATGATTGAAGAGGCAAAGAAATATCAGGATGAAGATAAGAAGTTCCTTAAGAAGGCCAAGTTAATAAATTCCTTGGATAAATATGTTTACAAGATAAGGAATGCTTTGAAGGAGAAGGATATCAATTCTGCAATTAGTAGGGCCACAGATTTGCTTGATGGTGATAACCAGCAAGATGATATTGTTATGTATGAGGGTTGTCTGAAAGAACTTAAGAGCCTCTTTGAAACACTCGAGGCCATGGGCAAGATTGGTTAGTTGTCTTCTGTGTGCAACTTTTTTGTGGCATTATATATATAACTTGCCATTTTTTGTATGTGATAAAGGCAAACTTTTATGATCAATGTTATCTTAAAATAGTTCAAGTTTGATGATAACTTTGTACTGGAAATGTAATTTGAATGTTGTTGTGGCTTACTTGGCCCCCAACACTTGAATATAGATTATTAGTTTTGCATAGTATGTGTGTTGCGCGCTTGAGTTCATCTCATTTTTATTTTGTTGATTCTAGTGTTGGGCTTTCTGGACCAGAGAAACACTAAAGAAAAATTGGTTTAACTCTGTTGCACACTTTTGTTTTGTTGAAGGACGTTCTGGAGTATTGTAACATATAATTTGCTAATACATTTTTGTTTGAAGCAGTAAAAATGTAAATAGATAAAGTATTTTTGTTACAAGCAAATATCATACAGAAATGAGGAAGATGTTACATCCATTATTATCCCACTCCAATAATTGCTGACGTGATGAGGAACATGTCATCGATTCATATTTACAGGTTACTTTCTATCTTTTGTTACACACAAATTCCATTCATACTGTAACATGTCTTGGATGTATGTGTGACTCAAAAAAGAAAAAAAAGAGAGGAAGAAATACACTTTTTAAAGGCTAATGGGTGTAAAAGAATTGAACCATCATATCATAATTGAGTTGACAGATCATGCTTTCTTTTAATCTCAAAATATTATTTGGTTTTACACACACATATTATAAATAATGTTAACTAAATGCACAAATCAAATAACTTACATCATCAATACATTAATAATTAGTATCACTTTGAATCTTCATTAATGATAGATAAAAAATGATTTAATTAATTATTGATCTTTATACCTTCGTCAACATTTCATTTCAGTTCTTATGTATATATAAAAAATTTTCCATTTTAATTTTTTTTTATCTTTATTACTATTAGAAAACTAAGAGCAAGGAGTAAAATATAAAATATTGTTTGTATAGGAATTAAAATAATGATACAAATACAGGACCGAGTAATTAATTAAATAAAAAAAATTAAAAGAGTCTTGAATTTATAGGAAAAAAAATAATGAAATTTATTTCAATATTTTTTTATTGTTTTCCTATGTACTGTTTGGTGATGTTGTGGTGAATTTCAAATGTATAAACTAAGTCAAATTTGAAAACTTATTTGTAATTTTCTGCAAAAATAAGAAACAGTGAATGATAATTTTTTTTTTTTAAGTAAAATGATAATAATGAGATTTGAAATTTATGATTTTACATAAATTATAAGAATTTTCTTTGTCTGTTAAAACTCATATTTTGATAATTTTAAAAAAATTGTATATAAAAATTTAGTTGAAGGTAAGATATGACTCAATACAAAATCAAAATTAACTATGTATTAATTTCTTTTAAATTTTTCGGTGAAATTTCAAATTATCTACATAAAAAAATATAAAATAAGAGAAATTAAATTTGAATACAAATCTTAATTAACTTGAGAGTAAAGAGATTTAATATGAATTATGTCATTACTGTGGATGGTAAAAAATTGGCATAAATTACTGCAACCTTTCAAGACATGTGACGCCGATGGCTTATTTGTTTCAAATCGAGTGAAACTGTCCCCAAAACAAAACAAAAGTGAATGAAAAATATCTATTAACTTTTATTAAAGAAACTTGCTTTTCCCACTAACTTTCCCCTATGCTTTGCTCAATCTCCATCAAAACACAAGAAAATATAAATATTTATAAATTGAATTTCAACGCATAAAGAATATTAATAATTTTTAATGAAAAAAAAAAAACAAATGAAAGATACCTAGTTGATTTTATTGAACTACCTTTCGTTTTTTACTTTTATTATTGGGTTAAAAACTTTGATGAATTCTTCTGGAAATGAAAATAAAAAGTTTATATTAAAGTGAATTTATTACATAAAAATATTAAAAGGATTGAATATTCATTTGATAAACTAATTAACAATATGAAATACTCCACTAAAGACACTCCTTGACAAGACCTTATGATCATTGTTACTTTTGTGAGTGAAATTTGTAAAGCACATGAAAAGTGAGACCTACCAATCCTATGAGATGAAGAAAGAAAAAGAGAAAAGATACATTCAGAATGTGAAATTGGGAACACGTCACATAGAGAACAAGTTTGAGTATATATATATAAGTCTCTGAGTAGTGCAAAGACATTCAAAGATCTCCATCATCATCATCATCATCACCAGCCATACCATTCTTATTCATTTTAAGTTTACTGCCTCAGCTGCTCAGTGATCCTCACTCCACTACCACTACTACCAGGTGCCCAATTTTCTTTCTTTCTCTTTTGGTTTGAAAAACTCTCTTTCTTTGTTTAATGTTAGTTAACACATGAGTAATTCCTACACCAACATAACTTTATAAATACATGGTTTATATTTTTGTTTATACTTATCTGTAAACACTCCTATAAGAAGGAAAAAGAAAACAAATAATAAACAATAAAATTAATTTCTCCGTATGTTAAAATAATTTTATACATAAATTATTATTTTTTTTTTGCAAAAGCTAACATAAGGTTAGATTGTGATTGAATGACAATATAAAATTATTTTACACTATCAATACGTTTTCATTAATTTCATATAAGTTTTTTTTCTTAATTAACTTATATATAAGCTACTTTCATTTTTTGAAAAAAAAAATTCTTATATTTTTATTTATTTAAATGTACTTATAAAGAAATTTATTTAAGCATTCACGTAATGGAATAAAATTATTATAAAATTTATGCTGAAAGTGAAGTCAAAAGTTATTTTATATTAGATTGACAATTTGGTATATTTAGAACAAGAATGAATGGGCTTGAGTCTTATACGAGCTAGAGATAACCTGAAAAAATATGGGTTCATGATATATATATCTCCTTTTTTCTATAAGTACACCTCCTTTTTAGAAAAAATAATTAAATATTTAAAATATTCTTAATTTTTTTTTTGTTTTTAATTTTTAATTTTACATATAAAATATTTAATTTAGTAATTTTTTTCACACATCTTCTCTTCTTTTTTCAATTTTTACATGCACTCCCTTACCTTTCTTTCACCACACCTATTTTGGTAGCATATGAAAATTAAAAGAGAAAAAAAAAGTGTGTGAAAAAAAAGAAGAAAGTAGCAAATTGAAAATTGGAAGTGTAAAATTAAAATTAAAAAAAAACTATAATATTTTATAATTTTTTAATAAAAAAATAAAGAAAGTGTACTTATAAAAAAAGGAGGTGTATATATCATGAGTCAAGAATATGTGACTCGGCTAGAAAATATTGAGCCCGAAAACATTCTTGGCCCTAGTTGTAAATAGGTCTGATCAGTCCAATAATTATTTTTAATTTCTTTACCTATCATTAATAGCCCAATTATGATTGTTAATGTGCAAATGGAAAGGGTATAGGCTGATGATATATACACCTCCATTTTTTTATACATATACCCTCTTTTTTTAAAAAAATATTAAATTTCTAAATTATCCTTAATATTATTTGAAATAAAAAAAAATTATCCTATAAATTTTTTTTGGGAGGTGTATTTGTACATAATTATGGAAAGTTCTTTCCGGAATACTAAAATTACTATTCCGGAAATAACTTTCTGTCGGAATAATTCTGAAAAGTACTTTCTGTAATACTAAAATTACTATTGCGGAAAGTTCTTTCTGGAATTATGGTAACAAATACACACACTGTTAATATTCCGTAAAGAATTTTTCGCAATAGTAATTCTAGTGTTACGGAAAGTATTTTCCATAATTATTTTGACGGAAAGTTATTTCCGAAATAGTAATTTTAGTATTCTGGAGAGTACTTTTCCGTAATTATTCTGACAGAAAGTTCTTTTCGGAAGGCTCATGATATATACACCTCCTGTTTTTTTTTATAAGTATACCTACTTTATTTTTTTAAAAAAATTATAAAATATTATATATATATTTTTTAATTTTATACCTTTAACTTTCAATTTTCTACTTTTTTCTTTTTTTTTTTCTATTTCAATTTTTACATGCTACAAAAATAGGTGGGGTGAAGGAAAGATAACGGGGTGCATGTAAAAATTGAAAAAAGAAAAAAAGAAGAAAAAAGAAAGATCTGTAAAAAAAAGTACTAAATTAAATGTTGTGAATGTAAAATAATAAAAAAAGAACAAAAAATTAAAAATATTTTAAAATTTTAATTATTTTTTTTGAAAAGGAGGTGTACTTATAGGAAAAAGGAGGTGTATATATCATCAACCTTTGAAAAACACTTTCCAAAATAATTTTTTTTTATTTCAAATAATATTAAGGATAATTTAAGAATTTAATATTTTTTTTAAAAAAAAAGGGGTGTATGTATAAAAAAATGGAAGTGTATATAGGCTTATGATAAACACACCTCCACTCTCCTATAAGCACACCCCCTTTTAAAAAAAATATATATAAAATGTCTAAATTACCCTTAAAAAAAAAA